CAAATGAGATTTTGTTATGAAGAGATATTGTATTGTTTATGTGATTTCTATTACAGAATTTCCTTAAATAATTTAATGCCTAATGCTCTGCTTTACTGTGTCCCAATTTTGGCTCAAGTTCAAATGTTAGCCCAAAGCCACAGGTTATGATACAACGATACAATTAAACATGCTGTGATACAATTCAATACAATATGATCCATTGTTACCACAGCTTACTGGTAACACTAGTAATCAAACCTTAATATATACAATCCTGTACAAGCAGCCCTTTGGTTTAATTTTAAAAGAAGTGAAAATCAAGCTTTATCATGTTTGTAAGACATTAGTTTAACACAGAGTAGCCATCGCAGGGAGAATGGGTTCATTAAGGCGCTCATATCATGGAAAACCAAATGTTTTTGAACTAAAAAAGTTTGATGTATGTAAACATTGTTAAAAAGTTTCAACATGTATCATTCACACCCAGTCAATAAAGCCCATATATGGAAACTAAGCCATTTTAAATTCAGGTTTTGTGATGTCACACATTTACATCCATCAGGCTCTAACTCCGCCCATTCACACTGACAGTTGAAGGGGTGTTTCAGTCCTCATGGCTCTCTGAATGACGCACCACGCAGGGCAGCCAATCAGAAGAAAGCTCACTTATAAGTCTTAAAGGCGAAGTCACAATAATTCTAAGGAACATAGTAGTTGTAAAAATGAATTATGGCTGTGTCTGAAGCACAAAACCACACATACATTATAAGTGGGACTCAAGGGAAAAGAATAAAATAGGAGGAAATGTTGGCTGTGGGCCCTTTAATGTTATTAAGACAAACTTAAATATCATCAGATACTGTAATGCGGTTTTATATGAGAATACTAAGAGCCATAACGCTTCACTGGTGCAAATTACAATTAAAATAAAGTGACTCACTTTCACCTCTGACCACATTCACCTGGTCAAAACATGTACCTGAAAAGCCAAACTCTTCTTATTTAACAGTGGCATTAGACCTTGAACAGTTTCACACAAGCATATAGAAATTAATTATTTAGAACAGGAATCTCTACTGGGCAAAATACAAGTTGGAGGCCAAAAAAGGTGCAGCTGAGTCATTTAATAATTCCTCCTTGGTTGCCATAAAGCACCTTTGTATAAAAAGAGAAACAAAACATATAACTGAAATCTTTATCCAGTAAAGGAGGATACTTTCAAATAGACAACAGCAAGTAATTATACCTCGTTTGCTCCACTCACAAATATCAGTTGTGACAAATATGTAACTTATATCCCAACATATTTGTATTATCTCATTATGAAAGGGGGAGGGGGGGGCAAAATATCTACCATAACTAGGCCCAGCAAGGGCAGCAATTATCATTACGAAACAAGTTTTGCATAAACACACCTCAAACTGTGGCTAGAACGTCTGACTCAGGTGGAAAGCAGGCGTAATTGTGCCAGCCGAGCAATCAAGCCGCGGTGTCGACACAGCAAAGCGCATCCCTCCCTTCCCACTGCCTCGGTGACTAGCACGCTTAACCTGCATCTCCTTCCATGGGGCTCATTTTGCACCTCACTAAATTTTGCACCCCACCAGATCCGCCTTGATTAAATCCAACACGTGTTCGAGCCCAGAACAACACGGGGGGACGTCGGATCCAAATCAATACCACTGCTGAACCTCAGCCTTGGGCTACAAAATCAGGCGGCGAGCAGGATAATTATTAAATTCAAAAAGGAGCAAATCAGCGGTGAATTATTACTGCATGCTTCCGGATCAAATGCATCACTCTGCAGATGGAGAACATTCAACGAGAGAATACTTCTGTGTGTTTTCAGCTTGAAAGGAATGCTCAAGGGTTTTTTTAACCTGCTGTATCTGTAGCTTATGATCGATTAGCGCACATAATCATTTTCCTGCACTTAGAAAAGAACAGAAAAGCAGTCGACTCAAAGTAAACTTATGATAGTAGCCAATGGGAAAGTGTTTCACTGGCTTATTGGCTTTCATTATAAGCATGCGTTTGACTCAACTGGGCATTATTTCACTAAGTACAGGGCAAATATTATAAAAATGACTGTCCATTATAACTGACCATATGCTACAGATACTGATAGACTGAAAAATCCATTAAGCACATTAATTAAACATTAAACATCAAACATTTTGTGCATATTGCTGCTGTTTTGACTAAGTCTGAATAAAAACTTTACAGGAGAAGGAAAAAACTTTCTTAAGCTTGAATTGAAGTTAATGGAACATGACTTATTTAGTAAATTTATAAAGTATTTTTGGACCATTTCTATTAGTCATCATGAAATTGTAAAACACTGCGAAGAACAAAAATTGAAGGCCTTTTTTTGACAGCAAGAATAAACAAGTAAATATAGAGATGTTGCATAGAAGCATTGTTTTTTTTTATTATTATTATATCGCTTTTCTCAGAGGAAAACCTCCAAAAATGCTAACTTTATAGGAGAAGAAAAAAACATTCTTTACTTTTAACATAAGTCAATGGTACCAGACTTTTTTTCCAACTCATTCTGATCCATTTCTTTTGGTCCATTCTTCATGAAATTTATAAACAATGTAAAAGTCAAAAAACATTTTCAAATTATGTCAAAAACTCAAAAAAACGACAAAAATGGAGATATGAGGTTTTCTTCCAACAACAGTGATATGCAAACACTTAAAATTCTTCTTATATTTAATGACTACGACAACATCACAGAAGATCTGCCATAGCTAATAATAGTACTAAATAACTTGCAGCTACTCCTGAATGCCAATGTTTATGCACTGCCTAAGCACAGAAACTAGCCTGAACTCTAAAGTGTCAATCCGAATGTCTTGGGAATTCAGTCTTCATTTCTCAAAGTGAGCAGTGGAAGCGATGCCATCTTTCATTTGTTCTTCAGCAGGTTTCAGCCCAGCCGTTATATATTCCAGAGCTGATCTCTCTGATTTACATGTAATTTAGCTCTACAGAATTCTGAACAGGTGTTTCAGGTTTGGTTTCAGTGCGGTAAAATAGAAACCAAACTGATTGGAACACTCAAAATGTGCCTTTAAAAAAAAGAGCTGAAGACAATACGCCAATCTAACCTCAACTGCAAACGCTCACTGTGCACAAAGCCTCCACACACAAAAGTATTAATGAACTGGAGCTCGACGACTGATTCCATTCTCCCGAACTCTGAAGAGAGCTGCAACAGATAGGCCTTTCCAGAAGCATTTAAATGATAAAAATTAAACATGATGCATAAAGGACATCAATCTGGAACAAAGCAGAGTGCCTCAATTTGGGGAAAAAAAGGCAAAGACGTGTTCTCTCTAAAAGCTATCGGGCAAAGGTGAACGGCTCGAAAAAGTCTAAGTAGGTACTCAGCGAGCTTATTCCACACATCACAATGCAGGTGGTAAAAGCGCTGTGATTTTCTCCTACGAGCACAAGGAGACAGGGGAACAAGAGGAGAGAGACAAGAGGATAAAATAAGGGTGGCACTGATAAAGCCAGGCAGAGAAAAAGAGCAGAAAGCGAATGAGGGAGACGCTGAAATTCTAGGGAAACTCATTCAGGGAAGCAAACAAAGGAAGAGCCAAAACCCTTCCATGCATCGGCAAGGTCTCATCAGTACACTGGCTAGTGAGTCAGACTAACCCAAGGCCTTCGGCTGTTTTCTTATTAGTTGTTTTTGGTAAACCTTACAGATGATAACTGCCTTAATGCTGCTACTGAGGTGGTGGGGGGGGGGCACAATGGGCCCCTAAACTCAGCCACATGGTGGAGCTATGTGTTGTTATGGAATGTGCAAAGTGGAGGGTTTGCAAAGTGGAAGGTCTGTGACAGAGCAGTATTCAAAAGAAGGTATGAATAGTGTACATTATGCATCATATATGCATATAAAATTCCATGCAAAAATCACAGACGTATATGCAAATATTGCCTTCTGTCTCTTTTTGTCTCTTTCCCTATATATATACATGTATATATTTTTGCGGTCAGAAGAAAATCTCGTATCTTCATTTTTGTCGTTTTTCAGTTTTTGACATAATTTGAAAATGCCTGTTGCCCTTTATATTTGTTGTGAATTTCATGAAGAATGGATCAAAAGAAATGGCCCAAAATGACTTGGAAAAAAGTCTGGTTCCATTGACTTACATTAAAAGTAAAGAAGGTTTTTTCCTTCTCCTGTAAAGTTACCATTTTGGAGATAAGATGTTTCCTTCCAACATATATATATACATACATATATATATATATATATATATATATATATATATATATATATATTTATATTTATATATACATTATACATTAATATATATATATATATATATACACATACACACAACAATACTATTACTTCTATATAACAATATAACACATTTTTAGAACATTTTTTAGATGAACCATGAATTATCTGAACATGTATCAAATCTGAAGATTATTAAAATTGTCAGAAAGGGTTTTGTCTCAGCACTGAAGCGCTAAAACCATTCCGGTAATAAACGACCAGCTTACTTCGGTTCCTTTCACTGAACAATGTTACGCGCACAGCACACGAGGACACGCATCAACGTCTAAGCGATATCCACCAACTTCATGCTGCCTCAGCAGGCTAATGAATAAAAAGGTGTTCAGACGGGGCAAAAACCAGAAAGTCCCCCACCAGCCAAAGAACTACGTGGACTGCTGTTAACGGCGAACTTGCACCGGCAGTGTGAGGTGGCAGTCTCTCAGTCTCTCAGCGTCTCCGTCTGAGGCGAACACTTTCTCTCAGAAACGCTCAGCGTCTAACCCTAAAAACCGGTAAATAAGAGATTCCAGCACATCCAGCCTGAATCCCGAGGGCTTTAAGCTCGTATTTTAGGGATGCCACAAGCCAACCCCCCTTCTTCCCCACAGCAATGTGACCACGTCAGTTCGCCGTTTCGGTACAAAAACGCACCGCTCCGTCACGACGTAGACGCTCACAGGTAAAGAAACTGAAAAAGGAGGCTTACCATTGCTGCTCCAGCTCCCAGTCCCTGAAGAAGTCAAACTCGAATAGGTCCATGGCTGGCGCTCCACTGTGAGAGTCTGTAAAAGGGTAACCGGTGGCCGTTGAGCGTCTGCGTCAGCCTGCATGCAGGCACGGTGTGTGTGTGTGTGTGTGTGTGTGTGTGTGCCGCTGCTAACTACGACTAGCTGTAATGTAGCAGCCCGTCTCTCCCTCACACTCTCTCACTCTCACTGACGAGCCGCCGTGTGAGGAGAACCTAAACGCTACAGCTCCCACTGTCCGCCCGTATTCGGGCAAGTCTCGCCTCCCTCGCTCTGTGATTGGCTGACACCTGCACTACGATTGGCTAGTAAGTCACGCTCACACGCAGTCAGTCCTATTGTAAACGCGAACTACTAGCCAGTCCCCGCGCGGCGGAGGAGGGGCTTGTCCGAATGTGGGTGGGGAAAAAAAAAGAAAAAACGCGAAAGAACCAGACTGTCGTTTCCAATTGGATAACATAACGGACAATGCAGCTCCGCCCCTTTTCGCTGTCAAAATGAACGGGGTGTGCAGATTGGCGCGACGTCACACACCTGGATATACACAGTCAGGTGTGATGTTGTATAGTTAGTGGGGTTTCACTCCATTCATAGAGATGCTTTAAATGGATTTTCATCAATATTCATTCAGTTTCCAGTCAGAACGGCCATCAAGTAAGTAAGCCAGTTTATAATTGTTTATATTTGTAGGCAATAAAATGTAAGATAATTCTAGAAATTGGAGGTTTCAAAGTGGAGAAAATGTGACTCCTAACAATCGTGCTAGACCCAACAGACCACAAAAACTGTCCCCATCAGACAAAGAGTACTTGAAGCTTTTATCTTTGGAGAAAATCAAGGTCCACTTGCTTCAGATCTGAAAAAAGTCCACAGGTGTTTCTGTCCATCCTTCCACTGTGAGAAGAGGACTCAGCGCTATGGGTCTGAAAGGATGTATAGCTGTCAAGAAGCCCTTACTGGGAAAAGGAAGAGGACAAAAAAGAAGAACATTTGCTTTGCAAAATAAACAAATAAGCTGCTGGTGTTCTCAGCACAATAAACTGACCACCTCAGAGTCCAGACCTCAACACCACTGAATGTTTTTGGATTACTAGGATCAAATATACAACCAACTTCTAAGACTGAACTTTGGAGGTGTAGAAAAATATCCACTGATAAACCGAAAGCAAGTCTCCTAAACAGAATGGAAGCTGTAATAAACGTAAAGGGTGGACATACAAAACACACAAAAAATATATTATATTTAGATAAATATACGTTTTCTGTTTTTTTTTTTTTCCTGACACTGAAATAGAAATAAGGTACTTAATGGCTGTTTTATCTGGAAATTAAATAAGAGATCAGGTGGTCTCTAAAATTTGCACAGCATGCCCATCAGTGGCAACTCAATTTAATTTTTCATTCTATATCAATGCTGTCTTCCTTAATATTCATACTCAGTCATCTAATAATTACCTGTGAGTCTAATCTGGTTTCATGATACGTCATATAACATAACATTAGACATTTTCCTCAACTCCATTATGCACTACACTATAATTAAAACACAGACAGTTTAGACCAGCCAGTGTGTTCATATTACAGACATTAGACAGAATTTTCTCTGATGTATGTTTTTGTCATTGGCTTTGTTGCATTTGTTGTTAGTAATGATGTAAACACAGCTCATCTCATCGATCTGTTCAGTCCCTTATTTGTATTTGCTTACAGGAGTATCATAATCATGATCAGTAGATAGAAAACGAGTACGAGTTATACTGACAGCAAACTTGCATGTTCAGAAAACATACATATGAATGTCTAGCAGAGCTGAGGGTTAATTGAGACCTTGCTGTGCTATTAAATATGTAATGTTAAAAGTTTATTCCTTAGTACTAAAATGAATAAAAAGGCCTCCCTGCTTCATAAAACTAAGGTAAGGTGGCGTTTTGCTGGTCGTAGACTCACTGAATGAATGGAATGAATGTATATAGAGTTTTTCCACTCTTTATAAATGCATGTGATTAGCCTTAAGTGATTTGAAGGTCTTTTTTAATAATTAAATAGCTTTAAGCCAACATCCATCAGCTATTTTCTCTATAAGTTTCAAAAGCCAAGTTGGTGATTAAGCCCATCACTATTATTACATATTTGCCTGATTGCAATTATTTAAGCTGACTGCTGTATTTTAGCTTCCACAAGCTCACAGTTGTATATTTACAATATAATACATTATATATTATGATATATTTACAATCTATACAGCTGTATATTTATTGTATAAATTTAAAAAGCCTTGGTCATGTTTTGTTGATTTTCTAAATGAAAATAAGTTATTACATCCTCTACAGGGAACATACTTAAATTTGGCACTTTCAATGCAATTTTAGTGTGAAATTTACATTTATTTGCTGAAAAGAAACATAAAAAATAAAATGTGCCGTAATTTTCTTACATTTCTTACATTTTATGTTTTTATTATTTTTTCAAATATGTTATATTTGGAAAATAAACATGAATTGTGTATTAAAACATGCAGTGTGTTCTCTGTAGAGGATGTAGTAACATCTTCACTAAAAAAATCAACAGAATTTGTCATCTGACTACATTTTGTTTACATGGTAAAATGTAAATTTTACAAACAGAATGTAAATTTTTATTAGTTAGGTTGAAGCAAATGTATGTAAATAAAATAATGTCATTTTGTACTTTTTTACAGAATGTAAAAATACCTAGTGCCTAGGAAAAAATCCAGTTTCATTAACTTCCATTCAAAATTAAGAATGTTTTTCCTTCTCCTGTAAAGTTAACATTTTGGAGATATGAGGTTTTGTTCCAACAACAGCGGTAAGTTCTATGTTCTGAGCAGTGCCGTATCACCTTTAGAGGGCAGTGCTGAGTAATGTTTGTTTATTTGAGCTTGAGCTGTTTCTGTTGTCAGTTGGGAGCCAATAGCATTTTAATACAGTTTAACTGAATTTCAAAAAAAGATACATTTATTAATCATAATTATTTATATGGTAATTAATCATGAGCTAATTGCTTGTGACAGGCCTATTAGTGATATAAACCTAGCAGGTGCTCTAAATAGACTTTATTATTTCTATAATTGGTTTTTCAATTTTAATTTTTACTGGCCCAGTAAATATCAGTCATATGCAAATGTTTGGGCACCCCTGGTCAAATTGCATGTGGTGATTTTTAAAGTAAAATCAAGTTGACACATCCTCAACAGAGAATACTTAAATATGGCTTAAATACACTTTTTTTTTAAAAAAAGATGGTTCTTCAAGTGTTCTTTAGTAAAGACACTAGTTCTACACAGAACCATGAACTCTCAAGAACCATTTGGATGCTTCAGTGGTTCTTTGCATGGTAAAATCGCTCTTCAGACTGATGGAGAATGTGTCATGTAGGGTTCTATATAACACCAAAAAAGGGTTCTGCTATTGTTACAATGCCAATCTTGTACCAATAAAAGACCACTTGTTGGTGCTTTATAGAACCATTTTCAGAAAGGTTCTATGTAGAACCATAAACACAAAACATTCTCCTTCAATCTGAAAATAATTTCACCATGCAAAGAACCATTTAAGCATGCAAATAGTTTTTTGAGTGCTCATGGTTCTGTACAGAACCAGTGTCTTAAATAAAGAGCATTTTAAGAACCACATTTTTTAAGAGTGTAAAATACAACTTGGGCCATAACTTTTGCACAGGCCCCCATTTTTAAGTTATAACTTTTCCCAATAAGTTAATTTCACCAAATAAATAGTAATTGTGTATTAAAATGTGCAGAAGTGTGTTCTCTGTAGGGGATGTTAACATATTTCCACTTAGAAAATCAACAAAAACAGGTATTTTGATATGACTGATTTGATATGATCTAAAACTTTATGAATATGTTATTCCACTTATGACCCGTTTACAGTATCTCCTGCTGATATAGTCAAACCACAGAAAATACAATTTTGAAGCAGCTGCACCTGTTAATATGGTAGAGAGACACATTCTGACAAAACTGCTCCACAATTTTATCTATTTATTTCCCTGATAGCATAACAGGAGCATTACACACATGAATACGCTGTCAGGAACCTGTCTACTCCCATTACTTCCTGATACAAATGTTCAGCTGCCTCCCATAAAGATCATGTTGTTGGAAAACAAGGCTCGACACAGGCCCACATATGTTTATTGTTGACATCATAATGATTTGGAGGGAGGCATATGGTGGTCATGGTTCACGCGGTATATTACAAAAACACATTTCTCTTTTTTTTTTTTTGCATATTTTACATCGCCTCAGGGTGCCCTCTTATAATTCATAGCAGAGACTGCAAAACTGATATTAATCTTACCTTGAAATAACACAGTGGGGCTAGGAGAGATAAATTTCTGAGGCAGAATGGCTTCCCAGACGTTACACGAATGGATGCGTTGCTGATGGATTCCACGACGGTCAGGCGCAAGCACACGGAGGATCCTGCTGTAGCTAACAATAGCTCAAACCGATACAGTGCGCACGCCTGCCCTTGTCACCTTGTCTTTGCCCACAAAAGAGGACAAATCTGACAGTTACTGCCCTCTGCAAGTGGCCAACAATAAAGCAAATCCACAAGACATGAAACGAGTAATGCTTCGTTTCATTTATTTTACAGACCCTCCTTGAAGGGACACTTACTTGACGGTGATATTTCTGTTTTGCAGGTGCACCGTTCTCCATTACGGATCTCTATATCTCCAAGAACAGAGATCATTTTTAAAGTGATAGTTTGGGCATATATGCTCATATATCATAAAGGGTCAGGCATAATATATCACTACTGTCAGAACAAAATTTGAAAATGCCGGTTGGCCTTTATATTGTGTGTACATTTCATGATGAATGGACCAAAAGAAACGGCCTAAAATTACTTGGAAAAGTGTCTGGTTCCATTGACTTACATTAGTAAAGTATGTTTTTTCCTTCTCCTGTAAAGTTCCCATTTTGGAGACACAAGGTTTTGTTCCGACAGCAGGATTATGTATGTATTATTCATGTACATATGCTACGTATCGAATATTGGACATATATGCGTAATATGGATCATACATATATGTCTGATAGGTGCATGAACACATAATAAATGAATCGCATATATATTGTCTGTCTGATGTATGTCTGATGTATAGATCACACATATATGTCTGACATAAACAC